TGGTGGTTTAGACTTTTCTTACTATTTTGATAATTTACAAGTTACAACACAATAACCGACACACACAACACACCCTACAACACACACACAACCACCACCACGCGGCGGCTGGTGGTGGCAGAACAGCAAGGCATCAATAACGATCATGGTTGGCAGCCATGGTGGTCTTCCATGGTTTCCGGCCAAACCAACACCATACATGAAAAGCACAAAAGCAAGAGGGACAGCACGTGCGACTTGGCTCGAACAAAAAACCCAACACCCACCTGTGGTGGGCTACGACGACAGTAGCTTCATGGGAGAACAACTACACGACGCAACCACGACGAACCCCAACGGCCGCAACCACGACCGACTTCTCTCACGACCACAGGGCCGGTTCCTATGGTCTTTTCTCTGCTACAACAACGTTCGGAGGCAGGAACTGGAAAAAGGATACGACGGCCCATTGCTTCGAAGGCGCCGGACAACAGCGGCGGTTTCACATCGGCATCAGCTCTCGTCAACGGCGGCGACGTTGGCTGAAACGGAGAAGGAAGAAAAGTAGCGGGCTTGCGTCATTCCGGAGGGAGGCAGCAGGGTGCTAATCACGATTTCATGATCCCCAATCCTCTAACTCGCACTTCACAGACCCACGGTAGTTGTCTTCGATGGCAGCGGAGGCAGCATCAAGGAACGACCTCGTCGGTGGCTTGGTTGATCGGAGGGTGAACATAAACTGTAACACCGTAAAAATTTGAACAATTTTTCACTTTTGTAACCCATAAAATATCGTTTGTAATCATAAATAAAACATTGTATCAACATTGTATTAGTACAAAACCCAAGGTCAAAATATATATAAACTCTGGTGGTCCGTGTGTACGAATCATGTCGGCACCTTCCAGCGATCATCACTGGTACCTGAAACACAGAACACATAACACTGTAAGCATAAATGCTTAGTGAGTTCCCCAAAATACTACTCTAACACATAATAGCCACTCGAGGCTGTAACTCTGTTGACCCTCAGGTCTATGTGTCTCAGTTGGGCCCTCCAGCCCCAACTCTCTATGGGCCCTCTGGCCCTAACTCTGTGGACCCTAAGGTCCTAACTCTGTGGACCCGAAGGTCCTAACTCTGAATCATACATAGTACATATCACAATAAATCATAGCACATAAATAACATGCAATTACACTGGCATGTAACTCTAAAATACTCTATCACATAACTCTATTATCACACTAGGTAAAGTATAGTGAGAAGACTCACCTGAGGCGTCTCGGTAAATCTCTGACTCGGTAGAAATATTGCCTAGTCTCCGCCTATTCACATAAAGTAAATACTCTTACAAATATAACTCTCGAAACTAGACTCGTCCTGCCATTAGCACCCTCAGGAGGGTAAAAGACTATTTTACCCCCCCCCCTCTCGACACAAGTACTCCATTGACCAAACCCTAAAGGTCAGCGATCACACTTTGACCCTACTCGCCGAGTGCACCATGGTGACTCGGCGAGTTCACACATGCTCTCTAACACTTTGTCCCGCTTGGCACGCCGAGTCCCTCCCTATGCTTGACAAGTCATATTAGGCATGAATCGTCGGCCCACCACAACTCAACTCGCCGAGTCTCAAGAACATCTTGGCGAGTACCGCCTTGAACTCTAGTCCTTTAACTCCCTTCTGACTAACTGAGTCATCCCCCAACTCGGCAAGTCTAGTTACTGAGCAATTTACGTGAAACCCTAACCCTACTCGCCGACTCTCAGGAACAACTCGACGAGTTCATGCCATGCACAAAATCTACTGGCCTCCTGAGGTCAGATCTGTTTCCCTAAATCATAGATCTGGCCTTCTCAAGCATGAATGTCACGTAAAGCTCGAAACTTGATGCTTGTATAACAACAACAAGGCATCAAAAGGAGATTTAATCCCAAAAATGGAAACCTAAGTCCAATAACCCCAAACTGATTCATAAAGCTCCAAGGGTTAAGGTCTCTAGACCTCTTTGAGTCCAGATGCAAGGCACAAACTCGAAGAGGGACCATTTGCTCCACATAATCACTCTCCAAAGGGATTAGAAAACCCGTAACTCTAATGATCAACATCAAAATTGAAGGAGGTTCGAACTATTACCTCAAAATGAAGTCTCTGAACTATGGAACTGCTAGAATCGCACATCCCCTTTGCTCTTATTCACCTCCTTCTTGCTAAACCAAAGGTACAAGGATCAAAAGTGACTTCTTCTTCCTTACAATGATTTGGCTCACTTAGGGTTCTCTCAAGGGATTGATAGCCGCAATGAGAGGCTATAAGTGCCCTTAAATAGGCTCCAAACTTGGGGGATTAAGGTTTCATTAAACAGCGTGGACTCAGTGAGTCTACTCATGGACTAACCGAGTACAAAATGAATCCGGAGGAACAATCACGACCCTACTCGGCGAGTCTACGCATGCACTCGATGAGTTCCTTCTCATAATTCAAAATAAATAATTATTAAATAATATACCTAGGATTCCGGATGTTAGAATTCTCCCCCACTAGAATAAGACTTCGCCCTTGAAGTCTCATTCTACAAACAATTTCGGATGCTGCTCCCGCATCTCACACTCCGGCTCCCAAGTCAGCTCGGACCCCTTCCGATGTTGCCACTGGACCAAAACCAGAGGCACTTCCTTGTTCCTCAAAACCTTGATCTTCCGATCCCTGATTGCCACCGGTCTCTCAGCATAATTCAGGCTCGCTTCCACCTGAATGTCCTCCAATGGCACCACTACCGACTCATCAGCTATACACTTCCGCAACTGCGATACGTGGAAAGTGTCATGAATCTGACCCAACTCTGCAGGTAGCTCCAAGCGATACGCTACCCTGCCCACCCTCGCGATCACTTTAAATGGCCCAATATACCGGGGTCCCAGCTTGCCCCTCCTTCTGAATCGGATGACTCCTTTCCAAGGAGATACCTTCAGAAGCACCAAATAACCGACCTGAAACTCGAGCTCGGATCGTCGCCTATCAGCATAACTCTTCTGGCGACTCTGAGCAGTCAACAACCTCTGCTTGACCTGCTGGATCTGCTCAGACGTCTGAAGCACTATCTCCATACTACCCATCACACGCTGTCCCACTTCTCCCCAACAGATAGGGGTCCGACACCTCCTCCCATACAACAGCTCAAAGGGCGGCATACCAATGCTCGAAAACCATTTAAAATCATTTTGAAAACCTTTCCTTGATTTGAGACTGGATTCACATAAGTGTTCCTCCAATACACTAAAACCAAGGCTCTGATACCAAATTGTTACACCCATAAAATGGAATCCAATTTAAAACTTTTTAATACATTTAAGAACCGTTATGTTATTATAGTTTTGTTTCAAAATAGTTAAAACATCAGAGTATCCCCAGAATCAAATCATAAAACCCATGAAAATGAGGAACTGTACGATCACACCTTTGCCTTCCTGCGGTCATCTGCTGCACCTGAAACAGTAATCAATAAATGTAAGATCAAAGGCTTAGTGAGTTACCCCGAAATACTGATACACATACAATCCAACAATACATGAACAAATAACATATCATAGCCACTGAACAGCATGCAATGGGTCCACAACTTTACAAGCTGGATTACCCCCTGGACCCTCAGTACGAGTCTAGAATGCCTACCGGGCGCTCAGCTCGTATCTGGAATGCCATCGAGCCTTCAGTACAAGTCTGGAATGCCTATCAGGCCATCATCTCATATCTGGAATGCACCCGAGTCCTTAGTATTAGTCTGGAATGCCCACCGGGCCCTCAGCTCATATATGGAATACTCTAGGGGTTGTTGGCTACCGCACGAAGCAGTATAACCTCAACCCATCCCACATAACATGTCGACATGTAATAGATAAATACACATACAGGAAATCAGACATTATCACAGGTAATCCTACAGACCTACCAAACAAGCATATCAATTGGCATACATCACTAGCATGCAATACTTACTCATCATCAACATCCAACAATGCTGGGATAATACATCCAATGGCCCGGCCTTGGTGCCTTAGACCCCTTAGTATAGTGAGGATAACTCACCTGGCACTGCTGAAGTCCGGCAGATACAACTCCAGCTACTGGTTGACAGATTATCGCACTGTCAACATCAAACAATACCCAATTAATAATTGAGTTAGAATCCCATGATTCAACTCACAATATAAAAGGCTCAATGGTCAAGTAATGGGCCAAAGCCCAACATATGGCCCAATTTTCCAAATTGGGCCCACGCCCTCATATGGGCCTTACCCTAAGCCCATCAACATATTCTAGTCCCTATGATTATTCTTGGATGGCCCATTAATAATCCAATTACCAAAGCCCAATGGAAAACGCACAACTCAAGGCCCAAGTGAAATTAGGGTTTTCACATAAAATGTCAATTAGGGTTAAGTGTTCCTACTTAACCCATTAAGGACTTAATTCACTAAGGGCATAATCCATAAAGTCCAATAATGGTTTAGATTAATTTTTACCAATGATTATAAATTAATATTTCAAGTTATTAATTAATTCCTGTGTGTGTTCCGATAATTCTCAAAATTAGGATTTTATTGGCATTAGGGTTTTCCAAACCCTAATTACGATTTCCAAACCAAATACTAGCTCATTAATTAATTTGTTGGGCTTTTAAGTCAATTAGGGCATTATTGGGCCTATTAGGGCCACTAGAAAACCATTAAACCCATTAGGGTTTTATTGGGGTTTACAAGGCCCATTAGGGTTTCAAGCACCCAAAACTTATCAAACGTAATGAGGCATGCACACTGCCACCCAACACGACGGCCAGAGGTGGTAGGAGGCGGAAGCCACCACCTTACGGTGGTGGTTTAGACTTTTCTTACTATTTTGATAATTTACAAGTTACAACACAATAACCGACACACACAACACACCCTACAACACACACACAACCACCACCACGCGGCGGCTGGTGGTGGCAGAACAGCAAGGTATCAATAACCATCATGGTTGGCAGCCATGGTGGTCTTCCATGGTTTCCGGCCAAACCAACACCATACATGAAAAGCACAACAGCAAGAGGGACAGCACGTGCGACTTGGCTCGAACAAAAAACCCAACACCCACCTGTGGTGGGCTACGATGACAGTAGCTTCATGGGAGAACAACTACACGATGCAACCACGACGAACCCCAACGGCCGCAACCACGACCGACTTCTCTCACGACCACAGGGCCGGTTCCTATGGTCTTTTCTCGGCTACAACAACGTTCGGAGGCAGGAACTGGAAAAAGGATACGACGGCCCATTGCTTCGAAGGCACCGGACAACAGCGGCGGTTTCACATCGGCAGCAGCTATCGTCAACGGCGGCGACGTTGGCTGAAGCGGAGAAGGAAGAAAAGTAGCGGGCTTGCGTCATTCCGGAGGGAGGCAGCAGGGTGCTAATCACGATTTCATGATCCCCAATCCTCTAACTCGCACTTCACAGACCCACGGTAGTTGTCTTCGATGGCAGCGGAGGCAGCATCGAGGAACGACCTTGTCGGTGGCTTGGTTGATCGGAGGGTGAACATAAACTGTAACACCGTAAAAATTTGAACAATTTTTCACTTTTGTAACCCATAAAATATCATTTGTAATCATAAATAAAACATTGTATCAACATTGTATTAGTACAAAACCCAAGGTCAAAATATATATAAACTCTGGTGGTCCGTGTGTACGAATCATGTCGGCACCTTCCAGCGATCATCACTGGTACCTGAAACACAGAACACATAAAACTGTAAGCATAAATGCTTAGTGAGTTCCCCAAAATACTACTCTAACACATAATAGCCACTCGAGGCTGTAACTCTGTTGACCCTCAGGTCTATGTGTCTCAGTTGGGCCCTCCAGCCCCAACTCTCTATGGGCCCTCTGGCCCTAACTCTGTGGACCCTAAGGTCCTAACTCTGTGGACCCGAAGGTCCTAACTCTGAATCATACATAGTACATATCACAATAAATCATAGCACATAAATAACATGCAATTACACTGGCATGTAACTCTAAAATACTCTATCACATAACTCTATTATCACACTAGGTAAAGTATAGTGAGAAGACTCACCTGAGGCGTCTCGGTAAATCTCTGACTCGGTAGAAATATTGCCTAGTCTCCGCCTATTCACATAAAGTAAATACTCTTACAAATATAACTCTCGAAACTAGACTCGTCCTGCCAATAGCACCCTCAGGAGGGTAAAAGACTATTTTACCCCCCCCCCTCTCGACACAAGTACTCCATTGACCAAACCCTAAAGGTCAACGATCACACTTTGACCCTACTCGCCGAGTGCACCATGGTGACTCGGCGAGTTCACACATGCTCTCTAACACTTTGTCCCGCTTGGCACGCCGAGTCCCTCCCTATGCTTGACAAGTCATATTAGGCATGAATCGTCGGGCCACCACAACTCAACTCGCCGAGTCTCAAGAACATCTTGGCGAGTACCGCCTTGAACTCTAGTCCTTTAACTCCCTTCTGACTAACTGAGTCATCCCCCAACTCGGCAAGTCTAGTTACTGAGCAATTTACGTGAAACCCTAACCCTACTCGCCGACTCTCAGGAACAGCTCGACGAGTTCATGCCATGCACAAAATCTACTGGCCTCCTGAGGTCAGATCTGTTTCCCTAAATCATAGATCTGGCCTTCTCAAGCATGAATGTCACGTAAAGCTCGAAACTTGATGCTTGTATAACAACAACAAGGCATCAAAAGGAGATTTAATCCCAAAAATGGAAACCTAAGTCCAATAACCCCAAACTGATTCATAAAGCTCCAAGGGTTAAGGTCTCTAGACCTCTTTGAGTCCAGATGCAAGGCACAAACTCGAAGAGGGACCATTTGCTCCACATAATCACCCTCCAAAGGGATTAGAAAACCCGTAACTCTAATGATCAACATCAAAATTGAAGGAGGTTCGAACTATTACCTCAAAATGAAGTCTCTGAACTATGGAACTGCTAGAATCGCACATCCCCTTTGCTCTTATTCACCTCCTTCTTGCTAAACCAAAGGTACAAGGATCAAAAGTGACTTCTTCTTCCTTACAATGATTTGGCTCACTTAGGGTTCTCTCAAGGGATTGATAGCCGCAATGAGAGGCTATAAGTGCCCTTAAATAGGCTCCAAACTTGGGGGATTAAGGTTTCATTAAACAGCGTGGACTCAGTGAGTCCACTCATGGACTCGCCGAGTCCAAAGTGAATCCGGAGGAACAATCACGACCCTACTCGGCGAGTCTACGCATGCACTCGATGAGTTCCTTCTCATAATTCAAAATAAATAATTATTAAATAATATACCTAGGATTCCGGATGTTAGAGTTCTCCCCCACTAGAATAAGACTTCGCCCTTGAAGTCTCATTCTACAAACAATTTCGGATGCTGCTCCCGCATCTCACGCTCCGGCTCCCAAGTCAGCTCGGACCCCTTCCGATGTTGCCACTGGACCAAAACCAGAGGCACTTCCTTGTTCCTCAAAACCTTGATCTTCCGATCCCTGATTGCCACCGGTCTCTCAGCATAATTCAGGCTCGCATCCACCTGAATGTCCTCCAATGGCACCACTACCGACTCATCAGCTATACACTTCCGCAACTGCGATACGTGGAAAGTGTCATGAATCTGACCCAACTCTGCAGGTAGCTCCAAGCGATACGCTACCCTGCCCACCCTCGCGATCACTTTAAATGGCCCAATATACCGGGGTCCCATTTTGCCCCTCTTTCTGAATCGGATCACTCCTTTCCAAGGAGATACCTTCAGAAGCACCAAATAACCGACCTGAAACTCGAGCTCGGATCGTCGCCTATCAGCATAACTCTTCTGGCGACTCTGAGCAGTCAACAACCTCTGCTTGACCTGCTGGATCTGCTCAGACGTCTGAAGCACTATCTCCATACTACCCATCACACGCTGTCCCACTTCTCCCCAACAGATGGGGGTCCGACACCTCCTCCCATACAACAGCTCAAAGGGCGGCATACCAATGCTCGAATGTGTTGGGTTATGAGAATTCTAACACTCCTAAGTGTACATGCAACCCTAAATACCTTGGATCTATGTTTTCTCTATTATACATGCAAATATGAATATCCAAGGTATTATCCTAAACTAGCATACAAAAACTATCAATATAACAAGATAGAATACATACCTCTTTGATGGTGCTTGTCTTCATGAAGCTTGAGTGCCTAGTGCCCCAAGTGTGACACCTCAAATGGTTCACAATCATCAAAACACTTAGAATAACTTAGAGAGAATTCTACACTTCATGAAAATCGGCTAGCCCTTTGTTACTCTCACTAGTGGCCGATTTTCCTCAAGAATAAGATGCTTATATAGTTATACAATTAGGGTAAACTCTAATTGTCATGACTTTCCATTTCCTTGGATCCATGGGTTCAAATATATACCATGGAGCATCCATGGAGCATCATATGGTTTTTTGGCCCAACTAGATAATCCATGGAGCATTAGCCCACTATACAAGTATGGATGATTTACACAATCAACCCATACATTTAATTAGTCTTCTTTTGATCACTTAATTAATCCTAGATTAATTCTTGATCAATACTAATTAAATAATCTTATTATTCTTATTATTAATATACTAGAACTTATAATATATTAATAACCATAAATGTCTTATTTCTCTCATTATAGTCTATCCAAGTGCATGATGGTATGCAACCCAAATGGACCATGCCGGGTCGGGTCAAGTCTTACCAATTATAGTTATGGACTTAGACATTAATCCAACAGTCTCCCACTTGGATAAGTCTAAAACTATTATTGCGTATGACTTCAGGAACCACTGGCAATCGTAGCTCTCAAAAGCTTCTGTCGAACTCTGACCTTGTAGATGAACTCTGATCTTGTCAATGACTTGTCCATTAGATAAGGGATCATATATTCCTCCATTCTAGATATCATATGGACTGAGACATGGATTATAATCATTCTCTCTGTCCATTTGTTGTTTCCCGATTTCCGATTTATGACGACTGACTAATTGAACAAATCAAATCAGTCCTGGCCCGGCCGAGCACTTCCATTTGTCATCATCAAATCATCGAGGGGCCCACATATATCGCTTTTATCCCGAAGGTAAAAGGAATGGATAAACTTCGACTCATATGGCTTGTTCTACTACTTGTTGAATCATACACAAAGGCACGTTTTATAGCACCGAGTTACCAAATGCGTTTCGTGCAATCAATGTACAACCAACTCATAGTAACAACTCATATCTCTAGGTTTGAAGAATATAAGATATTATCGTCTCATGATCACTCGTGATAAAATCCATGAAGTGATTCCAATGAGCGCGGGTTGAATCCAATACTCAGAACTTATGAGCACTCATGAGTGTTGTAGCCCTTTGTCCAACACTTAGACCTCTACAAGCCAACCCATGACAGTCTTAATTCATATCTACTTCCAACATATGACCGACTGTGGATGGTTTGAATAACTTAGTCATTCCGGAAGAATAACCTAGTTTATTCGGGAAGTCAAAACATGCAAAGTGAAACACAATAATAATTGAATCCAATATGGTATCAAAACCTATGAACATAAATAAAACACCTTTTATTTATCACCATATGATTACACATTATTCATTGTATACTGTTTCAGCTATCAACTTTATTCTTGAATTTAAAACAATAGTTGTCCCATGCTCCAAGCATGTACACTATGTTTTCTAAACACTAGTCATGCCATACACCGTATGCATACTATGTTTGTCTATGATCTTTACTTTGTGAACTAGATCAATTGAACATAACTTCAATGATTCTCTTTTCACACTCCCAAATCCTTACTGCAAATGCAAGAATTCCAAATTCATGCCATTTACTGAAATCTGTTAGATTCTAAACTTATATGCATTGATCCTCTTGTAATGATTATGCACAAAGTCAGAAAGACTTGACAACAATCATTACAGAGCATTCCAAAGGAGATCAACTCCTTGGAAACATCCTTCTTGCATTAAGTTTCCTTAATCTTACACAGATTGAAAATTCTAACTTTGAAACATTTCCAGATTCCATTTCGACTATCACTTCTGAACAAGAGTTGCCTCCTTACAGATTATGTCAATATGGTCCTTCCAGAATTATCACTATACTTCCAATTGTCCTTGAGCAACCAATCTTTGGTTAACCTTAGATTGTCCTCGACAGTTGTTTAATCCTTTTAGTCATATCCAGTTCTAAACCTTTTTCCCTTCTTAATGCCCCAGGCATTTGGAAACTTTTAGAAAGGATGAATATAGCACATGTAATCGATCCTATATCGGAAGCATATGGGACACGATTCATGATGTCTCACATAAAGACCA